TTATTACCCAGCACTAATCTTGCTTAACCTCAATTTTCAGCTCCATTGGCAGAGTAAAGTTTATCTGCCATGACTGGAAAACAAACAAAAAAAAAACCCATTGAATTTTATTCCCGTGCATATGCTATTTGTTTACTTCCATTTCCCATAAATATTAAATGTTAAATGTGCTTGGTTTATATTTGACACAAAAAAAAAATGGTTTAGCTGGGAAAAACTTATAAATCTCTTGGTTTTTCTGGAAAACAATGATGAGCACCCATATATCAATAACCTCACTTAAATATTCACCTCTCCTGGGTCCAGATTCTGTGCTGGAATGAAAAATATTTCACTGTTGATATAAACAGAACTTTCATAATTTAAACTTTGAGGATCTAAAGCTTTCCTTGAGGAATCATCTGCTGCAGTGAAGACACGAAGGCAGACACTGCAGGCACCTGAAGAATCCTGGAAAAAAAAATGCAAATTACTGATTTTTAAWTTGCCTTAAAAACCTCCCAAACCCMAGGGTCTCCCCAGGAGTTCCACTTGAGTGGAATTGTGAGGGTTTGCTGGCACAAGCTCAGCATATCAACCACTATGAGCTGAGTGTGAAACCCAGGGATGGACAGGAGAGCAGAATTCACCTTCCACAGATTTGGGTTTCATAGATTTAAAAAGGGCTGAGAAGGAGGAAGAGGAGGAGGAGAAGGTGAAGGAGAAGGAGGAGAAAGAGAAGGAGGAGAAGGAGAGGGAGAAGGAGAAGGAGAAGGAGGAGAAAGAGAAGGAGGAGAAGGAGAGGGAGAGGGAGGAGAAGAGAAGGAGAAGGAGGAGAAAAAGGAGAAACAAAAGAAGACGAAGAAGAAGAGGAAGAAGAAGAAGAACAAGAAGAAGAGGAGGAAGAAGAAGAAGAAGACACCTAATCCGGGTGTTCTTGGTGCTATATATTTGTGTGTTGGGGAATGTTTAACTGCTAAAAGGAGGGATGTGGTACCTTGGGAGCTCTGTCCCTGTTCAAACTCCTTTCCCCTCGTTTTGCAGATCTGCCTGAACCGCCGGTGCCAGAACACGAGCATTTTTGGGGTCCATAAATGTGCCACCAAGTGCCACGGCCGCGGGGTAAGCACCCCAGGAAAACATTATTTGACCATCCATCAATAACCACTGGACAAAAAATCACTTTCTTTAATGGCTCTGGGATCTATAATTGCCTGGAATAGATCAGTCAGAGCCACTGCAATACATTTTTATTGTGTGTTTCTATTTGCACCATCCCATCTATGAAATTATTTTTATTTGATGAAGAAATGTTGATCAGGCAGTAATTATCTTGTTCTTAATTGACAGCCTATGATACAAAGGAATCTCATAATCCTCAAAGCATTTTGAAGTCTAACATTCCATCATGAAGAATTCCCATTAACARTCAAAAAATGTGGTTTCTCCATAGACACAAAGAAGTAAAAATTTTTGAATTGAGCATTTGAAGCCTTTGGATTGAGAGGCAAATGAAACAGCATTTCCAAACCCATTAAAATTAAGTAAAACCATATTGATGAGTTTTGTGGCATGAAAGTGGCGCAGGATGAAAAATGTGATGATATCATTTAATAATATCAGTGTTTTGAAACCCAGTTTATATTATGATAATGTTAATTATGCCAAGCTATGCCTTATTAACCTTGATTTGCTGATGAGCTGTTGGTTTCTGTGAAAAGCTGTGGCAGCCACATCATTGGAAGAGCCACAGAAATTCACTGTCCTCTCCTGAGGAAGGATTTTAATTTGCTTTAACTGACTTTATCACCCCGAATTTGCAAAACTGAGCAGTGCTGATGGGGCTGCCTTTTCTCACTGAGCTGGAATGAGCAGAGGCTTRGACTGGCATTTTTATTTCTGTACAAAAGAGAACCTCTGGCGACTCCTCAGTGGCAGAATTGACCTCGTGGAATTGTAAATGGGAATTCCTGCGGTGCTTTAATTTAAAAAATAATGCWTAACAAAGAATATTTTTAATTATCTCGCTGTCTTTGAAAAGTAAATCTTTTTTTTTTTCTTTTTTTAATTTTACATGACTATAGCCAGTCTGAGCTCTGTGAATATTTCAGTGCTCTGCAGACACAGGCAGCACAGGGTTTCTGAAAATCTGCCAGCTGACCTGGCCAGAACATTGCATGCTCAGAATAASCAAACTCCTGAGAACTGATTGGTGTCTTTTTGGATGTCTGGGGTTATCCACTGAAGAATTACAGGATKACARATACATGAAAATTACAGAAATTGAAATCCTAAGGCATTGGGGGGCTGTCAAAGCTTCCCAGCACCCACAGCATCCCAAGAGTCTGGAYAGGAGTTCACAGGCAGATCATGGTGCTGCTGGAAGCAAACATAGAAAAAGATTTAGGAGGAGCTTGATTCTCCTCATTTTATTGGTGCTGGGGTATWGGCTATGGTTTTTGGGATCCTGTCCCCTGTGTTGAGCTGTTCTGTGCTCCTCTGTGTGCAATCAGCAGCCCCCAGAACATCTCCCTCCCTCCCCACCTCTCACTCCTCTCTGCTGCTCCCTGTGTGATCAGAAGCCCCGACCAGCCCGGGCTGCTCTGGATGTTTTTGTTTGAAGCTTTTTGTCTCGTTTTTCAGGTCTGTAACAACAAGAAGAACTGTCACTGTGAGGCTGAGTGGGCGCCCCCGCTGTGTGACAAGCCRGGCTTTGGTGGCAGCGTGGACAGCGGGCCCGTCAGACAGGCAGGTCTGTGRGATTTCAGGCTTCACCCGGTGTATCCATGATAAAAAAAATACAAAGTGGTGTCTTCAGCCATCCTCAGAAAGAGTTATCCCTACACATTGTTCATTTTATAGGATTTGATTATTCCATGCCCGTTTTTCCCAGTGTTGGAATTTCAGTGACCTCAAAGAGATATTTCTGATTCGTGTCCAAGTGCATGACAGGACAAGCAGCCTCCTCACACATACATCCATAAACTAAAACTTTGTGGGCAATGATGTCTGTTTTCATATGAATAACACTCTTCTAAACCAAAATTCATTCTCCTCTCTCCATCTCCAGATGCTGCAGTAAGTTGCAGCATTGAATTCATGACATCATGGTTATTTCCATGACAAAGCTTCTCATTATGATTTCACTACCGAAAGACTTTTTTTTTTTTTTTTAAAGACAGCAAAGAAACCACAGTCAGGCTCTTGGAAGAAGTTAATTCCATGTTTTTTGTTGCAGACAATAAGAGTTTGACCATAGGAGTGCTGATAACCATCCTGTGCCTTCTCTTTGCTGGATCAATCATGTACTTTAAAAGGAAGGCTTTCATGAGGTGGCTGTTTACAAGCAAGAAGACAACAATAGAGAAATTAAGGTATGATCATTTTCCCTAATTATATTCCAACAGGTATTAGGGAAGGGAAGCAGTAAACACAGCAATTCTCATCACTGTGAATGCGTCAGAAAGAGCCAGCCCTGACTAAAATATTCACCAAATAYTAACAGCAATGTTTCCCCTGGGTTAGCTCCATTTCATTGATAGGCAGCAAATAATGGAGCTATTGGTTTGAATATATCCCTCTTTCCTTTTGGGATGAAAAATGAAGCGGCGCTGGAAGCGTTGCCTTTATTTCCATTTGCCTGAAACAGTTTCATTTCATTGTGTGGCCTTTTATCTAAACTCAGTTGAGTGAGCTGAAACTTTCCTATTTGAGGTCATTACTGTTTAAATGTTAGATTCATTAGAACAGTCTCCTGGGTGCTACAAAGCTGCGTTTCCACAGATTGCAGAAGCTAATTTAACAGGCTACTGGTTTCTAAAAAATCAATATTTATTTTTATTCTTGCAGGAGCGCTGGACAATTTTTACTTTCCTTGTTTACTATAACAGGGCAGAAAGTCTTTGCAAAACTCTGTTCTGAAAAGAGGCTCCCATTTAAGGAAATGTTACAAAGCAGAATGTTGTGTTCAACAATCCAATGTTTGCATTGCAGGTCTGTGAGTCCAACRAGACCTCCCAGTTCATCTGAGCCAAATTGTGTTCACAGCACATCGAGCAGGAAAAACCTCATCATGAAACCACAAAATACAACCACACAAAAAGTGAGCCCTTAAATGTTGTTTGTTTTTTTTTTTTGAAAGTGGGGGGGAAAAACCCAACGTATTTTGGATCTCAATTAAGTGATTYTTTATAATACAATTATTATTTGAACTGAGTACTGTGTAGAACTAACTGCAAGTAAAATGGGAGAAAGATGCAGGCTTCTAACCTCATTTTGGATCCCGAGTTTAAGACAGTGGAGATGTCCAGTGCAGAAAAGAAACAGTTTTGTCTCTGAGAGAGAAAAGCAAGGGACTAATACGGATTTTAAAGCAGCAGCAGGCCAAGCTGGATGGGGTTAGGAGCAGCCTGGTTTAGTGGGAGGTGTCCCTGCCCTTCCAACACAACYCTTCTGTGGTTCTGTGCCAGCTGTTGACATTTCTGCCTTTGTTTGGATGGTTTTCACAGAGGGACAGCCCCCGGCGGCCGCTGCCCTATCACATCATCGACATCAGYGACCCCGTGAAGGTGCCACCTTTGAAAACGCCCCAGCGGGTCCTGCCACCCCTTCCCCAGCCACCAAACCACCAGGCTGGGCCTGAGAGACCCCTGCCAGCTCATCCCTCACTGAGGTTCTCCCAGGTAACCACTSATTTTTCTCTATTTAATATTTACTCCATGAGTATCCGGAGAAATGAAGTGTTTTCTTCTCTTTCACGCTGCTCTTTTCCCACAATATTTCCTTTTTGCTTTGTGTGAGTTTACAACTGCAGTGTAGAAAAACTGCTTTRTGGAAACTGGGGCTGTTATCCTTAAATTCAGGATGCTGAGCTCTCCCTTCACCACCCAAAAGACAACAGAACGAACACATCAGAGCCAAACATAGCCTCATCTCTGAATCACTCAGATTAGATCAATTTACACCAGTGCAACCAGTTTTTAATTTGCTTTTTCGTCTTCCCTTTACCATCCTGCCAGTCATTTTCAGGGGAATAAGRAACACTGATTCTTTCCAAAATAAATTTTGTAGGGAATGTGAAGCAGTATTGATTCCTGTTGCTTGTCTTTAGCTCCASTGCTTTCATTGTTCATTTTCTTGCTTTCTCTAACGTTCTGCACAATTCACAGTGGTCAAAGTGAAGATTTGAAGTGCAAGTGCTTTTTTGTTTCTTAAGAAGGATATGGACAGAGAAAAGGCTTTCCAAGGCAAAGTRGCCATTTCTCATTCTGAGGCTGCACCTATAGCTCACTGCACATCACAGCAGCCCAGCATTCCCCTAAAATCCATGTTCCTAAATCYTTGTGCTTCCAATCCCACCCAAAGGGCCAGGTGCAATAGCAKCTCCTCAGTGCTATCATTAGCACAGACTGACAGATCTGAATCTGCCAAAAAGCTTCTCAGCTCAGCAGCTCAAATGAATTGTGACAGTTCCTCCAYCAAGCCAAAAATCACCATTTTCAGTCTCTGCATGGAACACAAGTAGGACAAACAGGAGATCAGCTCCAGGCAGCTGAGAGAACGAGCAAGGACGGATTTTTTCAAAATTATGTCCACAACCTCAACCCTGTCAGAAATAGCTACTTTTTATACCAGAGGGACACAGAAACCACTCTATGGTGAGAAAATCTTTCATTTTGAAGTTAAWTTTTTGACCTCAAAGCTTGGAAGGAGTAAATTAGCTTAGGAATAGTTTTAGAATATATATACATACTACTTCAGATATTGCTTCAGCTCTGTCTTGGAAGTACATCCACTACCAAGTCATCAAGAGGAAGGATTTAAAAAACCCTTGCCACAATCAGGATGTCTCCCAGATGCTCAGTGCTGCAGAGGAACATTCACTATAAAATTTCCTTTCAGTTGCAAGTAAAATAGTTAAAAAACAGAGACTACACAAAAAAAAAAAAATGCCCAACCAATCAACCAAACAAAAAAATCCTCAGCAAATGAGCTGTTGCCAGGTTTAATATTTAATTATCTTTTGACTGAAAAACAGCTTTGGCTTCTTTCAGATGCTCTTGCGAGCACACAGACTTTATTTATGGGCCAGATTCGCAGTCAGTATAAATCAGCCCAGCCCCACGTAAATCAAGGGAACAGAGCAGGTTTATCCTAACCATGGGCTCAGTGCAGGCATTTGGATTTGATCTCTTCCCCTTGGTTTTGTTACTTKCAGCATCCATTTGCTGCCTCTTGACACTCTCATCCTCTTAGTATCAAAATTTATCTGATATTTTACAGCTTATCCTGATTTCAGGAAGTGAAACTTTGTGGTTTTACTTTTTCTTCAGCAAAACTGAGCTCAGCTCAGCTTCTGTTCCTTCCTGGGGATCTCTGTCCTGTGACACCTTAATCTGGCTGTAGACACAGAGATCTTGCAGTTGCTTTTTTAAAAATCAGTGAAAAAATCTGGAGTTCAGGCACCTGAGCATTTGGAGCTGCTCAATATGAGAATTACATTTTTCACGGTACTATTTAAAAAACACTTCCCCAAGTAGAATGCATGCTGCATTTTGCTTCATCTCAGCCACCATTTATTTTCCTTTTTTATCAGAATTCCCTCCCCTTTAATTTTTTTTTTTACCCTTTCTTACCAGCTTGCCACATTACACTTTCTGTCAGGCCACTTGGCTGCTTCCTCCTAAGGGTATTTTAACTCAAGGGTGACATTTTGACAAGCTCTGGGAAAATGAATGAATAAATAAATCAGATGTTGGGCTTGTGTACCCATCAATACCAGTACTTGCTATGAGAATTAAAGAGAGGGGGGGCATTAYATACAACTTTAAAATGTAGTTTATGGCAAATTTGAAATTTCTATATATGAGATTTACTTAAGATCATGTCTTTTCTTCCGTATCAAAATGCCTATGAATAATCAACCTGCATCTCCTTCTTGAAAGAGCAATGAAATTAAAAAAAACAAAGGGATGCTCAAAATAAATAATGAAAAAATTGTGCTTTACTCATGCTCTGACTGCTTGTTTGGATCACATCTTTCAAGGGATCTTTAATCAGATTATGTTTGTAAGCTCTTCTTGTTTCCCTTGACTTTACTAATGACACTTCTGGCAAACTAAAAATAAGGATTAAAATTCCTTACTCCTTATGGCAGTGCAGATAGTAGAAAGATCTGAAGTGAGTTTGGGGATAAATTGGAGTGGTTTTGTGTGCCCTGAGCAAGCTCCTTAATGTGTCCCAGCWCTCCTTAATGAGGAGCACAGACAGACAAGTCCCCTTGTGTGCAGGGACCACACAGGGGAGCCACGGGCTCAGCCTGGCAGCAGATGAATTTCTGTTCTTCATTAATGGAGCCTTTAATGCCCCAGAATGAAAGCACAGCAGCATCCCTGAAAAAAAACCCACCACAGATGCTCCCAATCCAAACCAGACTGGGGCCGTTTAGTTTTGTGGTCATTTGAATTTCCATTTTAAAGTAATGGGGAGCATTCCCTTCTACCTTTCTGTAGAACTGCTTTTACAAAGTTACGCATTCAATCTTTCGTTATGCATTCAAAAACTTTGGTTTTTATCTGCCACCCATTGAGTCCAGTGCAGATGCACCCTCTGTTTCTGGAGTAAGGAATCAAAAGACATAGTCATGAAAATACAGTATTAAACCTTTGTTTCAAAATTTATTGAAACAAAGATTTAATACTGTATTTAATATTTATTGCCTGCTTATTAAAATAAGTAACAGTGTATTTATTTCAATGTATCTGGTTCTAAGTGATTCAAAAGTATCTTCAATTTAGTTTTATATTAGATATCAAGAAGAAATTTTTCTGTGTGAGGGTGGGGAGGGGATGGGATGGAATTCCCAGAGAAGCTGTGGCTGCCCCTGGATCCCTGGAAATGTCCAAGGCCAGGCTGGACATTGGGGCTGGGAGCAGCCTGGGACAGTGGGAGGTGTCCCTGCCATGGCAGGGATGGGATGGGATGGGATGGGATGATGGGATTTAAAGTCCCTCCCAGTCTGTAATTCCGTGTTTCCGTGGATTTCTCTCCATGGTGGCTGTGGAAAGGGTTCATTGTCCATTTTGGAAGCTAACAGGAGCTGCTGTTTCCCACAGGAGCCCCCCAAGCCCAGTCCCCCTCGGAAGCCTCTCCCCGCTGATCCCCTGAGCCGAGCKCGCCACGGCCCCGCCGTGCCTGGACACCCCAAAGCTGTGCCCCTGGGCACCCCTGCCAGGTCAGTCCCATCCAAAACCTGCAGTTACAGATTTCAGCAGCTCAGAAATGGCTCAAGGAGCTGCTGCAGCARCCATCTTCATCATCATTCCATCTCTAATTGCACTGATGATGCCAGTTCTCATTGGGAGTGCAGCAGCTCCACTTCCATTGAATATAAAACTCCATAATGGAAAGTTTGACTGTGAGCACCTGGCTGAACATTTACACAAACTAAACAATAAATAATAGATTTACTCCTCAGCTCCCCCCTGGAATTAGGCTGAGAACTGAATGCTCTTCAAACCAACCACCAATAAAAGCAATTTTCTGTTCACACATTTCACCAGTAAACATTGATTTACATAATCTTGAAATAATACCCCAAACATTCAAGAAGAACACAAATTGTACACTTCAAAAAATATAAAGCATGATTTGGGAAAAAAACTATCAGGAAGTCGGATAACTCCACCCAATGTTAATGAGTTTAGTCAATGATGTTTTCTTACCCAAAATTCTTCAGTTTCCTGTGGATAAAGTGAGCTCCAAGGAAAAGAAAAGTGGTGTTTTAAGCTACAAGAATTCTACCAGTGAGGCATTTAAATGCTCAGAAACATCATAAATGGAATCAATAGAGTCTCCCAATATTTCTGGCAAAAATACCCCAAAAAGAAACTGATTAAACCCCTGTTTGTCCATTCTAGTCAGATATCCTGACAGCAATAACATTTCAAGCGGACTCCTGACAACTTATGAAATTCTGTGACATAATTAGCATTTTTGATCAGGTACAAAATTGATGAGCACCCAAAGAAATKGAGAGATTAAGTAACAATTTGCTCTTTTCTTTCTTTCCAACAGGCCTGCTCCCAAACATCCACCCCGGGTATCCAGGTCCAGCAACGCTACGGATGTGAAATGAGKAGAAAAACCTGACACCTTTGTTTTAAAAAGTGAAGACAGAAGTTTGCACTATCTTTCAACTCCAGCTGGAGTTCATTTCTATGACAATACTTAGAATTTTTAATGTTTAAAACAGCGTTATTTTTAAGAATTCTGAGCTACTGCCTCTGGTGCTGTGCTGTGCTATGGTGCTCTGTATACTTGCTCAGGTACTTGTAAATTATTAATTTATGTTGAATATTTATTACAGTGCAGTGCACTGTAGTAGATATTTTTACCATAGCTGAGTTTTCCTAAAAAGGAAGCCTTTTTTTTTGTAATATTTCACTGAACTTGAATAATTCTGCTCTATTGGTCCTAGGTAGGTTTCTTAGTTTTGATCTATTCTTTAAAGAGTGCTGATACAGATCAATCAAATACATAAACAACTCCATCTCAGTGGTTCACAAGCAACTTTTGAATAAACATGGCAGGGTAAAARGACAAAAACTCCTCTGGAACTTGGTGAAATGCCCGATATCTGCACACAATGTGTTTAACCAAAGGATCACTCTGTGTTTGTAGCTGTACTGTAATCCCAGTTTTCACGTTACTGTTTGAAATCTTCCAGAAATCTCTGTGCTGAGAGGATCTATCCACCTGGGAGGAGTCCTCTCGCTGGAGAAGTACTGTAAATCACAAAACTGTTTTGTTTTTGACCTCATTTGCCTCAAACACAGCCTGGTTGGGACATATCAGTGCAGATATCAGACCTCCCTGTGCCACCTCCTTTTTGGTGCTTTTTTAATTAAATTCAGCCATCTCACTGCTGTCCTGATYAGACTGGCAGTACCTTACACCCAGGGCTGGGGGGAAAGCCAAGAATTACATTTTAAGAATCCACTTTTGTATTATTCCCTTCGCCTCACCGCTCTGCTTATCAAACCTGTATTTTGCATATTTACTACTGTTTTGTATTTAACTCCTCCGGGTCTCTTCATTCCCAAATCAAAATGTGTATTTTAAATACATAGACTTGGATTATCCCCCCCCAAAAAAAAAATAAAAAAAAAAAGGTCATCTCTGCTATGTGATTACACCTGATCTCTTCTGTGCCTTCTCAGCAGCACTGCTGATCACAGTTGTTTCACCTGTGAAAAATACAATTTCTGAATATCAGCTGAATCAGAGGAAAAAGGGGCTATCACCTTTAATGGGATGGTTTCCTCACTGCTTGTGGGGTTTTGTTTCCTTAAGCAAAAATAAAAGCATTGATAGAAACTTGCACCTCGCTTCAGGAAGTGTAATTGTATTTCATTTTCCCRGTTATTCCCTGTTGTAGCAGCTCAACCCTCATGTTTATTGATAAACTGAACAAACAGAAATAAASCCCAGCTTAGTTTGGTGCTGAATAGCAAAGGAAATGCTTCATAAAAATATTTCAATTCTKAAAGCACCTCCAATGGCAACAGCAGGGTTTTATGTGTGGAGAATCACAAGAGAAGGATGCAAACATCCCAAACAATGCTTTTTATGTGCGTGATTTMAAAAWTTTTAAAAWRTATTTTCCATATATTTTATATTAAAAACATAATTATTTTTTATATCTAAAGTAGAGGGGTATCTCCATTTGGAGCAGCCACAGGAACTCAGTTTGCTTGTTGGAACTTCCCCATTTTATCAGAATTCTTCTGCAAACTGCTGAAAACCATAAGATGTGAGCAGTGAAAGAAGAAGGTGACATTAAACGAGTAAAAATTGTTTGTTACCTGCATCAGATCTGAATTTATCAGGAGCAGCTTAGGACAGACCTAGCACATGTATAAACTTAAATGTGACCCACCTGGGCAGGTTTAAAAGTATAAAAAACAGAAATGTCCCCACCCAGTTGTGTCCCTGTCACTGCAAGCAGCCACCTCACCACACCGCGTGTCAAATTTATTAATAAATATATTAACAAATTTATTAACAAATTTATTAACAAATTTATTATTCCCACTAAAACCAGCAGCTGGAGCACAATTATCCAGTGACGTGGAATTTAGTCCTACACTTAAGAGGAATATATTGTCTACTAGAGTTACTATCTAAAACATGGCAAAACCTTGAGATTTCTAGATATCTGGGTAAAAAAATCCTAATTCTCTGTCAGAAATAAAGGTAACAAAACAGCAATTCTGTAAAAAATGAGGACAATAATTTGACACCAAAAGAAGTTCTTACTGGACAGTACAGGCTGATTTTTTTCATACCAAAATGTGGGTGCAATATGTGTAACAGTCACATAATCTAGAACCCTTCCAGCCAGAAAAATGCACATTATATATAATTTTTAATATTATATATATATATATGGTTTTACCTATAAATATAAAAAATCTATTCATATTATATACATTTATATAATAGATGATATGCAATATTACTTTATATTTCTATCTTTTATAATTATAAATAAATCTATAAAATAAAAATATAGACATATAAAATATATATAAATATATAAAAATATATAAATATATTGATACATAGATAGATATATAGATATATAAATGTATAGATATAGATATAGAAATATATAAATGTATGGATATACATATATAAAAACATAAATATATAGAAGTATAAAAATATATAAATATAAAAATATGTATAAGTATATAAATAAATATATAAATATATAAATTAAATCAGATGCAAAATTCTACAGGCAGAAAAGGACCTGTAACTTAGGGGGTGGGATGGGTCAACAAACAACATGTGACCACAAGGGATGACACCAAAAGATGCATSAAATCCTTCTTTTATTTTGGAGAATTCTATCAGTAGTGGCTGCCTGTGAGGTGTTTCCACATCTAATTAGTGGCTCTGTGATTAGAGATGCAGATGGCATGGCAAATTCCACCGTGGAAAGCAGGTGAGTGGTTTTACATCTGTAAGGGCAGCGTAAGGAGATAAATTACAGGGGATGTRAAACCCACCGTGGGCTCCTGGCACGAACAACACAAATTCCTCCACCTCTTTCCCTTCTAAATCACCTCTGATAATTAAGTTACATCAACCTTTAAATCCTCAGTATTTTATGGTGCTCGAGTTGTCTTGGAGGGAGGGATTTTAATGCTGATTTTTCCTTTCTTTCTTCTCCCACACCCATTTTGCAGCCTTTGGAATGCTGGAACATTCCCATTCCAGAGGCAAAGCAGGAGCAGAGCATGCTGTCCCTAAAGCAATGCTGCCTTTATGCTAATCAATTGAACAGTAAGCACAAAACACCAAAGAAAATGAATAAATAGGCAGTAAACAAAGAGAAAATTGCATATTTRCCATCTTTCTCCCCATCAAATCCCTCGGGGTTAGTATTCCTAGATTGTTTGTAAAAGCTAGCAATTATCAGGGTAGCAAGATTTCTTTTAATTTCATGGAATATTTTAAAAGCCCTTTCAAAAGCACAGAGAAGAAAGAGATACAGAGCTTTTCCCTTTGTTTCAATTCTGATTCCTTCTGATCGTTTGAGTATGCAATATTCTCTTTTATTAACTCCCAATCAAATAACAGCAGGTTCCAATTTAACTATAAATTACCATGTAACAGTAAACAAATTCATTCTTTATCTTACAAGCACTCTGCCAAGCATCATTTTCTGTACTCAGTGGTGCTGAAATTCATTCTGCACTGAGCCCATCCTTCCACGTAATGAGACCACACATGAACGTGCCCTATAAATTATGGGCAGCTGCCCTTTTCACACAATACTTACAGGAGAAATTAAAAACCTAGAGCATATTGAACATTTGGGACTCYTGGAATTCTGTTAATTTGGGAATTTAATATCCATCATAATCATCACCATCGTGAGAAAAGATACTTTTCCATCACCCTCTTATTTTTTAAACAATGTGTGTCTCTGTAGAGGTGAACAATAATTTTTTTTATGGTTTACTTCATGTCTTAATTCTTACATGTCTAAATTTATGGCTTTTAATGTATTTATGAACAATTGGGGAAGGGTCTGGAACCCCAGGAGTGACTGAAGGAGTTGGGAAAGGGGTTCAGCCTGGAGCAAAAAAAAAAAAACAATTTGAGCAAACAATGTCTCCCACTGTTGGAGGTCTGGGTACCTCCACAGACTGAAAAAAAAAATCACCCTAAATCCCATTTGAAAGGTGGAATCTCCATCCTACACCCATCTAATCCAGGCTGCTGCTGCCTGGAATTAAACTATCAAGTAAGGTTTTAACACAAAATAAAGTACCAAAGTGCTTGAATGCTCCTGCTGCTSCTCCCAGCCCACACAAGGATGAAAAAAAGAGATGTTCACTAGTTCAAAAACCATTAGTTTGGTTTTAGCACTAAGCAAAGCAGTAAGTAAAGCCCAGGAACTTGGAAACTGCAATAAGAAGATGGTTTGGGAGGATTTTTAGGCAGTCTGCACAAGACATACATATTTATATTAAAATATGGGTCAGGGACAGCTGAGAAGATTAATCAAACTCCTTGTTTATCACGAGCATAATTTTGAAGTGTGTTAGGAATGTATGAAAAATAAATTCATTCAATGAATACATTCAACTCGTAGAATTCCTTTCCTTCAAAATGTGGTTTGGGCACATTTTGAACTGCCCTTTGCTTTCCAGTTACCTTCAAACTCTTACCTTTAATTCCTAACCGAAATTAAACCAAAATCACCACTCTGAAGACAGAAAATTGTCTGGATTAGAGACAGCAGGGAGAATTTCTAGAATTCCGACATTTTTAGGGATTCAGTAAGACATAACAAATGACAAGGCAATTGCTTTAATATGATTTCTATATTTTCAACCTCCTGGAGTTGGAATTTCCAGGGTCAGGCAGGGCTGTCCTTCCCCACAGCCAGAGGGAAAAAATGGCCAAGTTTGGGGGTCTCTGTTTAACACTGTTTGCCCCTAAGTAAAAACATTTCCTACTCAGTTCCCCTTGAGAAACTCTGTACAGCCTTGGCCTTTCCACATCCAGCAGATCCTTTCTTCATGTATTCCCTTTTTATCACTTCTGGGTTGTTTTYCTGCCATTCCTTCCTTCATTTTATCATCTCCCCACTGTGCTCTCGTGTCTTTTTGACAGACTTGTGGCTCCCCCAGCCAATTTTACCTAAATCCTCGATGAATGAGCTCCTTTTCCCCTCTTTTTTCCCTGTTTTTGAGCATTCTCTGTTTTCCCAAGGCTCACCAGACCATTTTAATTTTTTTTGGCCATTCAGGCCAATCCCACACCTAAACATATTTACAGAACATCATTTTATACAAACCTCTCTAGGGAATCTCTTCTTTTTTTTTTTTTTTTTTTTTTTTTTTTTTTTTTTTTTTTTTTTTTTTTTTTTTTTTTTTTTTTTTTTTTTTCCCTCTCTTTCGTGTCTGGTTTCTGTGATGAAGCTTTGCCATCTCAGACGAACACCATAAATCTCCAGGAGCAGCACCATAAATAACAGGAGAGATAGTTAAATGGATTGATTGGAACAGATGGATTACACTGTCAGGATGTTCCCAGTTCAGGTTTCTCTTCTCCTACTTTGACTTCTCTCCCCTGTTGAAATACTCTGAGATTTTCCTCATTTTGTGAAATCCCTGAGCACCACCTCAGCGTTATTTCCATCCCATTACTGAAATTTCTCAGGGCTGTAACAAATCCTGGTTTCTCCAACAGGACACCTGGTTACTGCTGGAATTTAACCTTATTCCCTTCTCATTTTTCCACTTCGATGGTGACAATTTCCTAAAAACTACAATCACAAAACCAGTGCTTCTCCCAGCAGCAAATTCTAATCAGAGATGCTTTAAATTATTTTGTGTGGGGGCAAGGTCTTCTTGAGGGCTCAATTAGTGTGAGACTGATCCAAATATTCATTTTCCTCCTCTGACTACAGCTACAAATACTTCACCCAAAAAAATAAGGACCAGCTTTTCCACAGGAGTCCACGACACAGCCAGAGTGGAAATCAAAGTCACAACAATCTCTATTCCAATACAATCACTAGCATGTCAGAATAAATACAGATGTAAAATTAAATACAAATATAAAATTAATTTGGCAATTTTATTTGTGGTGAGCAGAGCTCATCTCAGACACCAAACAACTTGTGTCCCTTTCTTACAGCACGTGCCTACTCCAAGCACTGTGGACATAAAAACCATAAAAATGGGGTTTTTTATATAAAAAAAAAAACAAACATAAAAACCTCATGGCTGCAAGAGAAGGGGTTGAATTTGGTCATTTTTCCATTGATATTCACGTCCAGCAGCAGCCCTT